ATTACATAATAATATATTATATTATACATTCACAATAATATGTGATATTTTCATTATAACATTTTTATTTTTTAGTTGTTTATTGATATTTTAAATTAATTTATGTTCTTGTCTGAGTTCAAGTTAAAATAAGAGGATTTATAATGAATTATCTCTTCAAAGAGTTCAATTCTTATCAACAACTTAACTAACAAACTTTCTTATCAACCAAGTTCTAAGTAATGTTAGACTGTTTCCAATTTAAAAATTAAAAGTATATATAGGAGCTTAATTATCCAAAAATTAGAATGAAGGCTTAATTGGAAAGAACTTGAAAACTAAAAGACCAAAGTAGTGATTTTTCCATACTTAGGCCCCTCATCCTCTACAGAAGCAGCACTCTGCCGCTCTGGTCCCTCTGTAATGGAAGAAGAATAGATGGTATCTTGAGATGGACGACGTAACAAGCCAAGGAGCGTGCATGTTTGTGACGATGAGAGATGTGACTTCGCGTGGCGCCTCTCGGCGCAGTTGTGTTGCAGCACCAGATTGCTCCGGTTGCGGAAGCTAGAACGGAAAAAATGGATGGATCGTTCAGTGGATGAAGCTTGCCAAACTGTTCCTTTGCTTGATACACTGACTGCAGGGCTGTCATGGTTACTTGTTCTCTAGGTTGTTTTGCTCAGACTCACAGCAATACTATAATTACGGAAAACTGTCCCAACACTTGTTTTTCATTCACAAGAAACAAGGTCCTTTCACTTGAATAGGTAGTTGGTATTATAAGTTTATAATTTATTTTTTTATTTTGATTACATAATGAGAGACAACATTTCACATCTCTTATTTCACCCCACTCGCATGGTATATAACTCGAACTCAAGATTTTTTATTTTCAACGAAAACAAATAACTACTGAGTTATTTAGTTCGCTGATTATAAACTTATAATTATACATTATATTATAAGTATATTATTTTGGATTAACTATAAATACAGTCACCATTAGGAATAAAGGAAATAATCATTTTTAATCTTTTATTGCTTCGAAATGAAATTGAATTCCACCTCATTATGGACTTCATTACAAGAATACTCTGCTCAGGATCAGCATCAAGACAATTTCTTACTGGGAAGTGTTGTATCGTTCATCATCCTTCTAGGATTGAAGAAAAACTCGGACAACATTCGGAGCCAATCTGCCCTTCCTCTCAATTTAGCTGCTCAATCAGTCCATTTCGTCATCAGCACCAGAGACTCCCTCAAGCACTAGGTTTCATACACGAGGAAGAGATTTGAGGAGACAACCAAGATGACAATACTGCTGTATTAACAACCTTTTCAGCATAGAAACAAACTTGAAGTTCATTATGCACTTTAGAGAATGGATGGCTCTGTAGGAACCATTTTCCTTTCAAAAGGCCCTCAATCCACAAACTCACTTCCATATTTCTTGAACTGGAACAATGGAAGAGAATTAGAGAGACTTAAAGAGCAACTGAGTGAAGGGCTCCAGAGGAACTATTTGTAAACCTAAGTTAAGTTAGGTCTCTTCAAAAGAATCTCCTTTATCTTCCATCTCCATTATGCATCCTTTGCTCAAGTTTGGCGTAGAGGCAGAAGCCTCTTCCATCATCAGCATTTGGAAGCAACACATACAGCAGGAGGCTTGGGTTATGACTAGGGATGATAGTCAATGGTGATTTCGTCCTCATTGATTTTAACATAGAAATACTATGATAAATCACTGAGCGAAAAACTAGCACCACCCCAGCATAATCCTGTACCCTTCTTATATCATCTGAAGATGAATTTGCTTCCTGAACTCCTCAGTTTCATCTTCATGGTTTTGGTTGTCCACATACTGTTTGTAAATTAGACAAAAATGAAAAAAGGAAACCATCAGTTTCAACCTTCAAAACTCATATGACAGAACTAAAAAAATTGAAAAGAGCAAGTCAAGTTCACGGCAAATATCTATGAGGGATAAAGAGAAATTTCAAATATATGAAATCTGTCAAAGGTTGAATAGGAAATCAAATTACCAGGTCAATGTGGCCAGCAACAGTAAACAGATTAGTTAGTAAGATGAAAGATAATTTATTATCTTCTTTTTGTTGAAGAACAAATATAATTTCATTCTTATTTCAAATGCTTGATCTGTCAGTTACCAACCTAAACCTTAACAAATGTACAGACACATGCTTGCCTATATAATAACCCAAATATAGGAACGTACGATATGCACACAGGTAAGTAAATGTCAAACAAAAGGAGGACAAAATTTTATTGAGATATGCTAAGGATGAAATTTCTAATGGTGCCTTAAGGAAGAAAGTTCCTTGCCAAATGTGAACAACACTTTATACTATAATTCAAGAATGATGGTGATGAATTCAAGGCTCAAGAGCATACCATTCAATTTTGGTAAAGTACTGATCTGACAGTCGAAATTTAGCTTCTTGCACTGTATCCTCCTCCTCCTCATATTCACCTACATTTAGCTCCTTAATCATGAGTGATCTTCCCAGGGAAGCAAAACATGACCTGCCTTTGCAGAAGTAAATCATTCGTCTGGGTATAGCTGCTTCAAGCATAAAGAGTATTGGATCCAAAGAACAATTCTGAAACAGAGAATTACATGTCAGGGAGCCATGATCTAAAATGTAGGTCTTGATCCATTCAGGTTAATTTACATATCACAAAACTTGTATTTAAACCTTATTCTAGTTGACAGCTGAAGCAATAATTTTTGCATATGCTGGCTTAAAACTATTTATATGGTACATTTCAGTCTTTGAGAATGAGAGTTGATAATCCAGTGATAACTAACTTCATTAGTATAAGGCATGCCCAATGCAATTTGACATTTCAATTCAAACTTAATTATAGCAGAGAATTTAAACCAGACAAATTTGGATTTAAGGAATGGCTCAGAAATATACTCAAATATTTAAAAATGCAACCTGTAGTATAATAACAACATTAAGTATTGAGTTCTAACAAATGCAAATCTGCATTCATTTCTCATGAAACAACAAATATATATTAAAAAATTAACTTTAAAGAAAAAAAAAAAAAGATGATGAAAGTTTTCAAATTACTGCAATACAAAAATTAAAAAGTGTTACAAATTATAAGAAAATAGGGGGGCAATTTATATTACAAAGAATGGAAAATAAAAGATTTGAGGAAAAACACAGATCTAGACCTCATATGTAAAATAGAAAATTAGTTGGGAATACCTAAGATGATTTAGAAAAACACAAGAACACAGAACTAAAAAGGGGGAAATTAATGAAAAAACTAAAATATAACTAACAGAAGCTTCAAATCTACCCAAGGGGGCAAAACATGATTTTAAAACTAAATGACCCATCAGAGCAATAGATTTTCTTTTTCAATTAATCCTTACACTTTTATTAACACCTAGGTGCATTAGCCTGACATGAAAGTAGAAAAGCAAGAACCAAAATTTTGCATGAAAAGGTGAATGAGAAAAAATAAGCAAGAGACGAGCAGAGGCGCCCTAAAGAGAGAGAGAAAAAAAAGGATAAGATATGAATGCACCCATGTACAGCATGTAGAGACCAGTATTAACATAGCAAAAACCTGCATTTAGGTAGTGGCTTGATAAGATAGAAGCAGCCCAATCAAAACACTAGAACTAAGTGAAAGCCCTACAGAAAGAATAGTTGAGGGGAGGTAGCCTTCCAATTAGAATGTTGGTGAAAATATAGTTGTTTAGGAGAGCAGGGGAGAAGCATGGAAAGAAAAGAGATGGCTATGTGTTGGTCTACACACATTCTGAGTAAATCAGGGATATCACCCCCTTTATATAAGAATTCTAATGCCAATTCTTATGTGATAAACATGTATCTCGTGGGCTTCACACCAAACGCATGACCTTTAGTTACCATAAAAAGGATAAGTGATACGTAAGCAATGACTTCAATGGAAGAGCCATACACTTAGCAAACTATAACCCTTATCTCTTTCAGAATGAACCACTATGGCACTATCCTAGTTCAGTGTATCTCGTGAGCTCCACATGAGATGCGTGACCTTTAGTTACCATAGAATGAAAAGGGAATGCGTAAGCAATGACTTCACTAAAAAGCCAAACTGAGAAAACCATATGGATTAAGATGAACTACACTCCTAGTTTCATCTGGTAGATTTCTTAGACGGTTCTCACCAAGTTTAACAGAAAGAGGTCCTAAAAGTGCAAACAAATTAGACAGTTTATTTATCCGAGTAGCCAAAAAAAGAATGAGTATCACATATCATATCTTTATTTTGCACAAAAAAGTTAGCACTGAATTAAACTAAAAAATAACAACAGAATCAAGCGCCTATTTCAAAAAACTTAAGGTTTCGTGATCATGGATTTCCCAATGTCATAAAACATGGGAAGATGGAAAATCTTTGATATAAATCCTTACTGGTAGATCTTTTTCCCCAGTAAATTATCTGTCACAAGAAAACGTGTCAGATAAAGCACCAAGTTAAAATTCAAAACTTGCATGTACCAACTACCAACACTAGAAAACGGAATACTACTAATGCGGAATATGAATTTTTTTTTAACTTAATTGCCAATAGATTTCCTAAATCATCTTCATTCTCATATCTGATATAAATAATAAATTAAATTAATCATCTCCTATAAACAGCTAAAGTAAATTACTCAGAAACCAAAATTTCCAAAGGCGTGCAGTTTACCAAAAATAAGACTCCATAGTTTTCCCCATGAATGATTAATCTTGACTTAAAAACCTACATAGATAAACAGCTTAGCAAAGAAGACACAGTATATATATATATATATATATATATATATATTTTACATAAAAATAACAACCGGCCCAAGATATTGTTCCACATTGTTAGCCAAAAAACAAATGAGGGTGATTGTAAAGAAAATATCTTTAAATTAACAAGTAAAATTGCTATGTTAAGCAATTCAAAATCCTGGAAATTGATACATATACATAAGCTGAGTATGCTGTTCTGGCTTCATGTTAAGTAGAATGGCAAATCAAGCTAACAGAATTTCATAAAATTTTAAGCAGAATCATACGGGAAACAAGTGTGAGATTCTCTAATACCAAATGATTTAGGAATAAAATGCTCAATTTGGGGGAAACTAAGAACATAATAAATCTACCACCACGAAAAGAATTAGGAGCGAAGCTGTGTAACGTAAATTTTTACCCAACCTTTTGTGATCTGAGGAGTCTGAAGCTGGAACTACAGAACCCTCTTCTTTTTTTTTTTTTTTTTTTTTTTTTTTTTTTTTTTTTTCGTTTGAATGCCGCGAAAATTTGCAGCGAGGGAGGAAACCCCCTACCGTTTCGAAAATGAAGGCTTCTTAAAAAAACCAAAACTAAATACTAAATATATTAAATATATTTTATATATTTTAAAAA